TGTGTTGTATACTGTGTGTGTGTTGTATACTGTGTGTGTGTTAATCCCACTCCGCTGTGGTCAGGTGATCCGGCGCTGAGCAGCTGTGCAGCCTTGATATCGCTCACCATCAGACAACGGGAGTCACCGGCGCTGAACACACTCAGTTTTTCTCACCCGACGCAAACGTTGAACCGCTGCCTTTTTCAGGAGGGTTGTGTCAGTGAACCGACATGGTGGACCGAGTAGCTTTACTGCTGCTGGCTGTAGCGGCTTCGGCTCTGGCTGCCGAGGTAGGAGAATCTTTTTTTGTGCGAGAATTTGTAGTATTTTCCACCATATTGTGGCTGTCAGCTGAGTCAAGCTAGCTAGAGTTAGCTGCGGCTAGACCGGAAGCTAAGCGGTTGTCCTTTCAGAGTTAAAGCAGACGGCGTTTGAAGGACGGTAAAAAGGGGGTATATTAAAAAAACCAGGCAACTTAAATTATATCAAATTAAATATTTAAATTGTGTAACAAATAATAATCACAAACTGTAAGATATTTGGTGTTTTAGTCTGATATTGCGTGTGGTATTGTGAATATACCCACCCTCAATTCAATTTGATGAAGCTAAGTCTTTTGAGGCCATAAATGTAATGATACGGAAATTACTTATGTAAAATCATATTTTTAACCCTTCGTAATTTCCACTTTGGTACTTAACACCGTGCTTTGTGAAAAAGGGCAGATATTTTGTTTTATGTTTAAGCTTTTAACCGGAAGTCTTGTATAAAATCTAGCTAGCTTGACACTGACTGTAAAGCCTTGCATATTTCTAAATGAGAGACTACACAATGTTTAGTACATCACACAGCCATCGAGATATTCTGTTAGTATTTGTCGTTGTTTTGTTTGTATTTAACCTTCCCAAAAAGCAGAAGACATAAACATAAAACGTATTTATTTTAAATCCCTCCTCTTGTTCCGATGCTCCGCAGCCTGAAGCCTCTCAGACAAAGTCTCCCTTTAAGCCTGTGCTAACTGTTTATTGAGACTGTGACAATGGAGACAATGTCCGACACAGCTGATATAAAGCTGCATCCTCAGTGTTTCCCTTTGCCCTTTTGTGTAAAACGGAGGAACAACTTGCTTTCCTCCGATTAAAAATGTTACAAACAAGTTGAAAACATATTATGTCCCCTAAAAAAAAAAAAAAAATACTGCGGTAGTGTCTCCTAACGATGCTGTTAAAACGCGTATTTACGGGTCACTCGGGCTAATTTAATCTCGTTAAAGTCATTACGGTGGATAAATGAAACGCGTATTGTCTCATTTTCCACATCCCGAGGGCAAATTTGAAGGGAGTGGGCGTGTTTTGGGAACGAAAATAAGTCAATAAGACGTCTTGTTCCCTGATAACGAAGAGCCGACGCCACATTCTGGGTTTAAAGAAAGCAAACGAAGCCGTGAGGATGACGGTGTCGTCGGAAAACAAACATTGTGAGCGGTCTGCCACATAATTTCAGTCGGAGGGGAGAGTGGAGAGGAGAATAGAAAAGTAAGATGGCGGCGGTGCACTGCAGCATTTATCGAGGGGTCGGGAAAACTGGGAAAACTGGGAAGCCAACAGGAGCTTTGACTGTCATTGTTGCCTTTCAAGCTCTCTTCTGATCCCTCTCTGAGTTAGGTGTGATAATAACCCCTCTGGAGATATTAAGTATTCTTTAATAATGTCCCTACAAAGCACCCAGTTTCACATAATCACCATCCTTTTTTTTATTTTTCAAGCGTATTTGCCAATAATATCGCTTTAATATAGCTACACTGCAAACATATATAAAAAAATTTAACATGCAGTTTACTTAATCGTAGTTATTTAATCAAATCCAGCCATTTTCTGCAAACGTAGATATGTACAAAAAAAAAAAATGTCATGTCATCATTGTCAGTAATGTCATTTTCTTGCTAATGTGTGTTTAAGTTCCCCTTTTTATGAAAGGCTACCAAAATTTTTCTGGAAAATCCCCAAACAAGTGAATCCCCATTTGACACATGGGGATTTTTTTTTCTCTCACTTATTTTAATGGCCGATTTCAACACTTCCAACACACACACACACACAAAGCCACACTGCCACGATATAATGCAGCGTGGCTTTGTGGTGAGAGATCCCTGTTTAACCACCAGTTTCAGAAGGGACCTGCAGTTGTGGTGTGAGCAGCTGTCTGTGGGATCTCTGGTTGCAACAATTATAGCTTGAATCCATGATAAAGGTGTGACTTGTAATGGATCGATGGTGCCAAACAATAGCTATTATGATCCTTTTAGGCCTCTTGTTTCTGCTGTCTTGGCTGTTTCTGCTCAGATTTTGAGGTTTCTGTTCCTCAGATGAATCAGGTGAAATGTGGCAGCTGACCTTCATTGTTTCCAGCATGTAGCCTGCAGTCAGTGTACTTTGAATGAATGGTTAGAGCACATGAAGCATTGGCTCAGCTTACTTAAGACAATCCCTCCCCCCTTGGAGTCCTGTATTTACAGTCCAAACCTCAAAGGCTGAAATGCGATAGAAGAAGTTGTTTAAAATTTGAGGAGTAATTTAAGTACGATTAAATCAGACTTGAAAATGAGATGTTGCAAGTTTTTGATCTTGTTGGAGCTTGTTTATAGCCTTTCTTACTGCGACACACACACACACACACACACACACTTCTAAACACACAGCTCCAGGAAGCTGCTTTTCCTGACGGGCCCGCGGTGTGGAGCGTGGGAGTTGGATGCCAGCCTTTGTGTGTTTGTAAATCCTTGGGAAATGGCTCTTGGATGGGTGCAGGCAGTCTGTTTGTGTGCATACTGCAGTCTTTCAGCCCGGGGCGGACCAGCCCTCTCCCCTTATTAGTGAGTTTAATGCCATTATGCCTGTTGGCAGTGCCCGTGTTTCTCTCTGGCATCTTCTCCGCTGCTCACGCTGCAGTTTCGATTCTTTGAAGGAGAAATCCACCAGACGCTAATATATCTCCCCATTTTCTTATTTTTACAGTGTATTGTACCCACTTTCGCTTGCCTCGCTGTACACTTCTGCTTCAGTTTGTACTTTACATTTTGCAGAATGCCTTTTGACACCCTGACAGCGAGTGTTCAGGTCAGAAACCTCTTAACCAGAATGCAACACGTCTTATGGCCGGTGCTCTATTCAGGTCGGTCGAGGCTAATTTCAGTGAGTAATTCAGGTTCTCACTCTCTGGATTGATTTCTGATGGTTGACTCTGACCTGGTAACAGAGGCCTTTGCTCTCCTTCTGAGAGACACCGAAAAAACCTGATGTCTGCTGTTCTTTCGGCTATCAAACTCCATAGGGACATATTTTGTAATGTCACAGCCATAGCTGGAATGATTGCT